CCTGAGGTGCTGGAATTACAGGGGTGAGCCATTGCGCCTGGTCAAGAACTCTTACAATTCAGTAATAAAAAGACATTTTGCTGGGACTGATGGCTGATGCCTGTAATCCCAGCACTTTGAGAGGCCTAGGTGGGAGGATAGTTTGAGTCCAGGAGTTTGAGACCAGACTATGCAGCATAGTGAGACCTCTTCCTGCCATCTCTACGAAAATAAATAAATAAAGGGAAAAAAATTAAGCAGGTATGGGGTGTGGTGGCAGGCACTTGTAGTCCCAGCTACTCAAAAAGGTGAGGTGAGAGGATTGCTTGAGCCCAGGAGGTCAAGGCTTCAGTGAGCCATGTTTTCACCACTGTACTCCAGCCTGGGTGACAGAGCCAGACCCTGTCTTAAAATAGTAATAATAAAAAAACCCCAAAGACGTTTTAAAAGTAGTTGTATTAGTTGGTTAGGGCTGCCATAACAACATGTCATAGACTGGCTTAAACAACAAAAATGTGTTTTCTCACAGTTCTGGAAGGCACAAATCTAAGGTCTACCTGTTGGCAGGGTTGGTTTCTCCTGAGGCCCCTCTCCTTGGATCGTGGATAGTGGCTTCTCCCTGTGTCTTCACACAGCCTTCCCTCTGTTTGTGTCTGTGTCCTCGTCTCCTCTTCTCATATGGATACCAGTCATCGGATTAGAGTCTACCCGAATGACCTCATTTTAATTAACCGTCTCTTTAAAGATCTTGTCTCGAAATACAGTCACAATCTGAGATATTGGATATTATGACTTCATTATATTAATTTTAGGGGACACAGTTCAGCCTATAATAATAAGCCAAAGATCTGAACAGGCATTTCTCCAAAGAAGATATGCAAATTGCTAATAAGCACGTGACAAGATGCACAGCATTGGTAGCTATCAGGGAAATGCCAATCAAAAGCACAATGAGATGCACATCACACTTACTAGGATGCTGTAACCATAAAGACAGATGATAAAAGTGTTGATGAGGACGTAGAGGAATTGGAGCTCTCATACATTGCTAGTGAGAATGTAAAATGGTCCTTCCAGTTCGGAGAACAGTCTGGTAGTTAAAAAAGGTGTAACATATAGTTACCATATGACTCAGAATTTCCACTCCCAGGTATATACCATAGAAATGAAAACTTTCCCCTGCCCCCAAACTTGTACACAGATGTTCATAGAAGCATTATTCTAATAGCTGCGAAGTAGAAACAATCCAAATGTCCACCAATTGGTGAATGCAGAAATAAAATATGGTCCATGCATACAATGGAATATTGTTTAACAATCAAATCAAATCAAATGCTTATACACACTACAACATGGGTTTACCTTGAAAACATGCTAAATGAAAGAATCCAGTCACAAAAGACCATGTATTATGTGACTGCATTTATATGAAATATTCCACAAAAGTAAATATGTAGAGACAGAAGATAGACTGGTGGTTGTCAAGAGCTGGGGGATGAAGGGTCGGGGGATGGGGGGTCATTGGTAGTAGATATAGGTACTGGGTTTCATTTTTGGGTGATGAAATGTTTTAAAATTGACTTAGTAGTGATGTGGTGTGGTGATTTACATTAATGAATATACAAAAAGCCTTGTACACTTGAATGGGTGAATCACATGTATATAAAGTATATCTCAATAAATTTGTCTAAAAATATATGAATTGATATTAAACCAAAGAACCAGTCATGTGTCACTGAGTGATGGGGAGAGGTTCTGAAAAGTGCATCATTAGGTGATTTCATGGTGTGAATATCACTCAGTGTACTTACACAAACCAAGATGGTGTAGCCTGCTACATACCTAGGCTATATGGTGTGGCCTATTACACCTAGGCTATAGATCTGTACGGCACGCTATTATAGTGAATACTGCAGGCAACTGTTACACAATGGTAAGTGTTTGTGTATCTAAACATAGAAAAGGTACAGTAAAAATAAATACAGTATTATAATCTTATGGGACCATTGTCATATGTGCAGTCTGTCATTGACTGAAATGTCATGGTGCATGACTGTAAATGAAAGTTCAGATTAGCTGAGTGTGGTGGTGTGTGCCTGTAATCCCAGTTACTTGGGAGGCTGAGGCAGGAGAATCGCCTGAACCCAGGAGCAGAGGTTGCAGTGAGCCGAGATCGTGCCATTGCACTCCAGCCTGAGTGACAGAGTGAGACTCGGTCTTCAAAAAAAAAAAAAACAGTTCAATAAACATATGAAAACACCGTTAGATATTACAGAAATGTAAATTAAAACACAATGAGATGGCACTGACACTTTATGCCCCAGGGAATGTCTGTAATAAAAAGCTGGTAACAAGTGTTGAAGGATGGTATAATTTGGATATTTGTCCCCTCCAAGGGAAAACATGGGGAGAAATGCCAGATATAGTATGCACTTAAAGTAAAATAAATAAATTTAAAAAGAAAGAAAGAAATGTGGTCTCCAGTGTTGGAGGTGGGGCCTGGTGGGAGGTATTTGGGTCATGGGGGTGGATCCCTCATGTATGGCTTGGCGCCCTCCCGGTGGTAATGAGCCATGGTGAGATCTAATTGTTTAAAAGAGTCTGAGACCTGCCCTGACTGCCACCCCACTCTCTTTCTCACCATGTGATGTGCTGGCTCCCCCTCACTTTCTGCGAAGATCCTAAGCTTCTTAAGGCCTCACCAGAAGCTGAGCAGATGCTGGCACCATACTTGTGCAGCCTGTGGAACTGTGAACCAAATCTGCATATTCCTTTTTAGCAGGAGTGTCTAATCATTTGGCTTCCCTGGGCCACATTGGAAGAATTGTCTTGGGCCACACATAAAATACACTAACACTAATCATAACTGATGAGCTAAAAAAATGCAAAAAATCTTATAATGTTTTAAGAAAGTTTATGAATTTGTGTTGGGCTGCAGGTTGGACAAGCTTGCTTTATAGCAACACAAAATGGACAAATACAGGGGAGAATGTAAGAAACTGAAGCCCTCATATATTGTTGGTGGAAATGTAAAATGCCATTTTGACAACAGTTTTCCAGTTTCTTAAAAAGTTAGACACAGTTTTACCATATGACAGAGTGGTTCTACTCTGAGGTATACCTAAGAAAATTAAAATATGTGTCCACATAAAGACTTACATGTAAATATTCATAGCATCTTTTTTCTTTTTTCCCTCCCTCCTGCCTCCCTCCCTCCCTCCCTCCCTCCCTCCTCCCTCCCTTCCTTCCTCCCTCCCTCCCTCCTTTCCTTCCTTTCCTTTCTTTCTTTTTTGAGATGGAGTCTTGCTCTGTCACTCAGGCTGGAATACAGTAGCACGATCTCGGCTCACTGCAACTTCTGCATTCCAGGTTCAAGCGATTCTTCTGTCTCAGCCTCCCAAGTAGCTGAGATTACAGGCATACACCACTACACCCAGCAAATTTTTGTATTTTTAGTAGAGACGGGGTTTCACCATGTTAGCCAGGCTGGTCTTGAACTCCTCACCTCAGGTGATACACCTGCCTCAGCTTCCCAAAGTGCTGGGATTATAGGTGTGAGCTACTGCACCCGGCTGTTATTTTTCAAAATAGCAAAAACTGGAAACAACTGAAATGTCCATCAACTGATGATTGGGCAAACAGTATCTGCTATATTCGTACAATGGAATATTATTCAACAATAAAAGGAATGAAGTACTGATATGAGTGACTATGTGGATGGACCTCAAAAACATTATAGTAAATAAAAGAAGTCATATATTGTATAATTCAATTTATTTGAAATGTCCAGAAAAGGCAAGTCTACAGAAACTGATATTAGATTTATGGTCCTATGGCGAAGACGGTAGCAATGAAGGATGCTTGCAAATGGAAATGAAGTTTGCTAAAGGTGTAGTGCAAATGTTCTAACATTAGATGTGTTATCACTAACATCTGATGTTAGTTGCTCAGCTCTGCACATTTTCTAAAAGTAATTGAATTGTACACTAAAAATAAATGAGTGTTGTATGTAAATTTACCTTGATAAAGCTGATTTAAAAAGTGATAGCAAGGTGTGGGAGTAGAGGGTGTTTGCAAGTAGATGATTAAAAGAGGGACCATATGGCCGGGCGTGGTGGCTCATGCCTCTAATCCCAGCACTTTGGGAGGCTGAGGCAGGCGGATCATGAGGTCAAGAGATCGAGACCATCCTGGCCAACATGATGAAACTCTGTCTCTACTAAACATACAAAAATTAGCTGGGCATGATGGCACATGCCTGTAGTCCCAGCTACTCGAGAGGCTGAGGCAGGAGAATTGCTTGAACCTGGGGGTAAGAGGTTACTGTGAACCGATATCATGCCACTGCACTCCAGCCTGGAGACAGAGTGAGACTTCATCTTGGAAAAAAAAAAAAAAAAAAAGAAAAAGTAGGACCATGTAATGTAAGCTGGTAAGGAAGGGTGAAGAGTAGTGAGAGAGTAGCAGTATCCACGAGTTATTTGATGCAGCTGACAATTTATTGACTTTAGTTCACTAGAGGAAGTGAGATGCAAACACAGGAGCTGATAATCAGAAAATTAGGTGATTGAAGTTGAGACTATTGTTGGATTGATAATGCTAAAGTTGCAAATATGATCATGGATGGAGGTGAGTGGCTCTGATCCTATGGAGAGGAAGATAATTGGAAGTAAGGAGGAAAAGTGATGAGTCATTTATAAGCGCTCCAAGTGTTATGACAGTAGAACTGGAGTGAATGATAATGATATAGGAACCAAAATCTTCAAGGAGCAACCCAGGTGATAGATGACTGCTGCAACGAGGAGAAATGTGTACAGTAGCTTACAAGAGACTCAGCGGTGGAGTTAAGAGGGAGGGAGGGCGTATTGTTTTGAGGCAAGCAGAGACAGGGTCACAATAGGCTATAATCAGGATTATAGGAGATGTTTGTACAGGCAAAACCCCGAGAAACTTCATGAAAGGTTATGGTACTTGTTAAACAAGTTTTTCCAATACATCTGTAGCTTGTGTTAAATGAGATGTATGGATTACAGTTGCCATCTCAGACTATGGCAAAGCTAGGCAGGTTAGTGGCCTGAAAACATGAAAGGAGCATAATCAGTAAAATCGGGAAAAACCAGGCAGGCTGACCAGAACTACTGGGAAGAGATACAAATTAGAAAGCAAGCAGAATTGTGGCGTGATCTGCATTCTTTAATCAAAGGAATGAGGCTCTCTAAGAGTAAGGTGGGATTCAGCACTGCAGAGACACAAGTCTTGGTCATGGCTGGATTGTGCATTCTGTTGTCACTAAGTCCCTGACCCTATGGCAATGACATCATAATGACCCCAAATGCAAGTGAAGTAAACAGAATCAGGGTAGGGCTCCAGGTGCTCTGGTGAACTCGACTTGGTGGATGGTGTGGAAGGGCCTTTGGAGAGACCTGTGCCCACGCTAAAAGTGAAAATGAAGGTGTTCGTTTGAGTTTGCTTGTGTGGAGCTTTTTTGGCACGGTTGACCCATCTGTGCTCCTCCCTGTGAGTTGATGTCACACAGGGTAAGAAACCATGTATTTATTCATCCTCGTTGACTTTTCTAGTTTATTGTGGTATTGATTCTTGAATGGAAGCCCTAGCAACAAGGAGCTCCACATGGAAAAGGAGGACAGACATGCACTGTCTCAATGCCCTGTGTAAGGAGTAGGGTAACCCAGGCCACCTGCTGCTTAGAATTTTCTTCCTGCTCTTTTCATTGCCTTGAAGGGAGTTTTAGAACTGCCTAGACAGTCTGATAGAGTTGAGAGTCAAACTGTGTAGCTGGTAAGAAGAATGGGCTGTAGGCTTGTTAAAAACAGAGTGCTGTCTTTCTCTCCCTTCTCCCCCATCTCCGCAGTTTCTGCGTCAGTACTTCTGGGTCAGGGCCTAAGGATTTGCGTTTCCTATAAGCTCCCAGGTGATGCTGATGTCCTCAGGAACCACTAGGTTGGTTTTATATGTATTTCTGCAGAACAATGTTTTTGATACTGTGGAGAATACACCCCAAGTGTTGTGGGTTCAATTCTGTCCTCCAAAAAGATATGTTTTCTAACTGCCAGTTCCTCAGGCCATGTCCTGTTTGGAAATAGGGTCTTTGCAGATGTAATTAGTTAGGATGATGCCATAGTGGCATAGGGTGGGCCCTTAACCAGTGTGACTGAAGTCCATATAAGAGGTGGAGAACCCTCCTGGTTTCAAGCGATTCTCTTGCTTCAGCCTCCCTAGTAGCTGGAGTTACAGGCACACACCACCACTACTGCCTAATTTTTGTATTTTTAGTAGAGAGGGTGTTTCACCATATTGGCCAGGCTGGTCTCTAACTCCTGACCTCAGGTGATCCACCTGCCTTGGCCTCCCAAAGTGCTGGGATTACAGGCATGAGCCACCATGGTGGCCAAGAGTGTCTTTTTTTATGCTAATGAGAAGACTATGGCCAGGGGCCCCTAGGTAGCTTCAGGATGGGGCTGGTCACCATAAAGATTGGAACTTTCAGCACCCACCTACCACAGGAAGGGGAGAGGGGCTGAAGGTTTAGTTGATCACCAATGGCCAATGATATATCTTCTGACCTCTTTACTCTTTATTATTTACTCATTCCTTTTTGCAGAACTATGATCCTAAGAGTATATATGTCGATATAGTGTTCTCTATGTATACATATACGCACACATATAATTTTGAGATTCTGAAAGTATAAATATCCATATAGGCATATATTTTTACATATTTTTTTATGAGACTGAGTCTCAGTCTGTTGCCTACGCTGGAGTGCAGTGGCTAGTGCCATACTGCTGGAGTCCAGCATCTACTTCTTCTTTTTAGAACTTGGATTATATCTCGGTTAACTAATCTATACCATACCTCTTATTTTGTCAAAGAGAATGTTTATTTTTAAAACCTTAAGCTTTCTGGTGAATCATAAATCATAATTTTCTATTTTGATTTAGCTAGTGAGGTAATATCAAGTTGCTTCCCCAGATTTTATCTATATATAAATTTTATTCTATTATTGCTGCATAACAGATAACCTGAAAATTTAGTGGTATCCAACCATAATGTTTCATTTTTCTCATGATTTTGTTTGTCAGGAATTAGGTTAGGCAGTTTCACTTTGGGGTCTCTCATGCAGTTTTGGCCGGATGTCAGCTGGGGCTGCAGTCATATGAGGGTTCTACTGGGCCGGAAACCTACAATGACCCTGGCGAGCTGTTGGGAGCTCAGCTGAAACTTTTGGCTGGAGCATTTACATGCAGCCTGTCCAGTATAGTGATTTCAGGATAGTTGGACTTTTTACATGGTGGCTGGTTTCCCCTGAGAGGAAGCATCTCAAGAGAACCAGGCAGAAATTTTTCAGGCCTTTTAAGGGCTTTTTAGAACTAATACATGGTGTAGTTTCACTTCTGTTGTGTTCTATTGTTTGAAGCAGTCATGAGCCTGTCCAGATTCAAGCAGTGGTGACATAGTGCCCCCACCTCTTCATGGAATGAGTGTCAAAGAGCTTGTGGGCAATACATTTCACTGCTTCATGGTTCTGAAGTATATCTTACATAAAATAAAATACACAGATCTTAAGCACTGAGTTCAATGAATATTGGTAATTGTTCAGACCCATGCATCCATTGCCTGATGTGAGGTATAGAACATTTTTTTCACTCTGTAAACTTACCTTGTGTGCCTTTCAAGTCAATCCTCACATAGTTTTTCCTGTTCTGTGAAGTCACATAAATGGAATTATACTATTTGTCTATTTGGCTTCTTTAAATCAACATAAAACTTTCAGATTCACCCGTATTGTTGATCTACCACTTGTATGTTCTTTTTTATTGCTGAGTTGCATTTCATTCTATGAATATACTACAGTTTCTTTATCCCTCACCCACTGTTGGACATTTATTTCTAGTGTGTGGCTGTTATGAGTGAAGATGATATGAACATTCTTGTATAAATCTTCAAATGTTATCAGGGTATCTTTGGAATAATATTTTCAAATTATTAAAATCTAGTGTTTCTGAATTGTTTTAATGCTCAAAGAACTTTGTTACTATTTACAGGCTTTTTTTTGGGATTAAGGAGGCATGGAGTTCCCAACCCTGGGGCCATGGATCAGTACGAGTCCATGACCTGTCAGGAACTGGGCTGCACAGCAGGAGGTGAGTGGCGGGAGAGCAAGCGAAGCTTCATCTGTATTTACAGCTGTTGCCCACTGCTTACATTACCACAGGAGCTTTGCCTCCTGTCAGATCAGCAGTGGCATTAGATTCTCATAGGAGCGTGAACCCCATTGTGAACTATGCATGTAAGGGATGGATCTAGGTTGTGCACTTCTTATGAGAATCTAGTGCCTGATGATCTGTCACTGTCTCCTATCATCCCCAGATGGGACTGTTTAGTTGCAGGAAAACAAATTCAGGACTCCCACTGAGTCTACCTTATGGCTAGTTGTATAATTTTTCATTATATACAATGTTAACAATTATAAAGTACACAATAAATGTAATGTGCTTGGATCATCCTCAAACCATTCCTCCACATTCCCCTTCCATCTGTGGAAAACTGTCTTTCATGAAACTGGTCCCTGGTGCCAAAAAGGTTGGGGTCCACTGGTTCATAGGATATACTAAAAAGGATGGAATGGTGTCTTATCAAGAAAAGTAAAATCTGTATCATCCATAATTTCAATTACATAAATGCTCAGCATGAAAAATTATAAAGATGGCTAAGAGTTTAAAAAATGGAAATGGAAATTTCCCCTCAAAACCAATTTCTCCTCTGCAAACTTCTTCACACCTCATCCCCTGGAGGTTAGAAAAGAGTGGGTTAGAATTCTAAATTTCTTTGTGTGTGTGCAGAGGATAGTATTGTTGGAAAGTGAGGAAGAGGATAGTACTGTTGGAAAGTAAAAGTTCATTACTAACTACAAATTGTAAGTCTGGTTTCAGTAATAACACTTCCTTTCTAGGTGACCCAACCCCAAGATATTGCTACTGTTGCCAAAAAGGGAATGAAGGTCATTGTGTCTCTGAGAATGTAGGAGTCCCTTTAATAGATGGGGAGAAATGGTTTAAAGATTCTTAAAAAATTGCACAGACAGTAGTTGTCTGCTCTTTGGTTATAGGTTATCCCAGTTGGGAGTGGAGGACTGAAGTATGTCTCAATGCACAAACTAAAGCTCTGCAGGCTTGGAAAGAAATTTTCTTTTGTAGTAAAAGCCTAGGCCCCTTGTTGTGGACATGAGCATTATATCTGTTAGTTATAATAGATTATTGGGGGGTATCATCTAGGCAATGAAGTGTTCTATAAGAAGATTATAAAGATAATCAGATTTGCCCCATGGATTTTGCCCAGTGGTTTTGAAGGCAAAACAAGATTAATTTGAATATGTAGGGAAGAAAAAGAAATTGATATTGATGTGGGGCTGCTTTTTTACATTTAAAAAAGGCTGACGGTGTCAACTACAAATTAAAAATCCGTAACAATTTCTAGTGTGATGCCAGATTAATGGGGGTACCTTGAAAAATTAGGTCAAAATAAAGTGACAGAAATTATAAAACATACATGATAATGATAATAAACAAGACATTTATTTTTCATAATCTTTTGGGGTAAAGGAGAAAAGTCAATTTGCCCTACCCAGTCATGGTCTTTCTGAAAGATTCTCCATTCATTCCATAGAACTGGGTAGGTTTATTAATCTCGGTGGATTTTGCACTCTTAATTCATAAAGAGAATTTCATTTCAAGAGAGTGGTCAAAGGGTGAGCCTTTGTGAGCAGCTTCGCTGGTGCACGGCCAGACTCCCTCTCTGGGTGAAGCTTTTTCCACATTGGCCACATAGATAGGGTGTCTCTCCTGTGTGTATTTTGCCATGCAGAATACAATTCCCCCTCGTGTGGAAACTCTTCCTGCATTGGGTACAGGCATAGGGCTTCAGGCCAGTGTGGACTCTGATGTGAACAATTAAGCTTCCTTTCTGACTGAAGGCTTTTCCACACTGATCACATCTATAGGGCTTCTCACCACTGTGAACTCTCCTGTGAACAGCAAGGTTACTCTGATTCCTGAAGCTTCTCTGACAAATAGCACACTCGTAGGGTTTCTGTCCAGTATGGAGTCTCTCATGGACAGCCAGACTACCTCGTTGACTGAAGCTTTTCCCACACTCTTTGCACTGATAAGGCTTCTCTCCTGTGTGTATCCGCTGATGTGTAACAAGATTGCCTTTGGCCCTGAAGCTTTTTCCACAGTGGGTGCACTCAAAAGGCTTCTGACCAGTGTGGATTCTCTCATGTAATGTGAGACTACCTTTTTGTCGGAAGGATTTTCCACACTCCTGGCACTCATAGACCCTTTGTCTCACTCCAGGTGAATCTTCCTGTAGTGTCTTAGAATCTGGTGATTTTTGTTCCAGCTTCTCTCTTCTGAAAGAATTTTGGATATCCCAGCTTGAGGATCCTGTAGCCTCAGAGTGGTCATATTTGTGGTGGGCTTCAGTCATCACATCTGGTAAAATGAGAGGGAAGTCATGTAAGAGGCACCAATATGCTGAGTGAGAAAAAGGAAAAGAAACATAATACTTTGAGTGCTTATGATGAGTCAGGCCTTCTTCTTTGCATAGACAATGCAATCCTGAAAGCAATGCCATGAGATTGATACAGATAATGGGAACACAGAGAAGCTATCAAAGGTCACAGAGCTACGTAAGTTAGAGTTGACTCAAACAGGCATTCTCCACAGCAGTGTACTGCCTCTAAACTTAATTTAGGCCAACAAACAATTTTGTAAGATAGACATGGTTTTCTCTATTTTACAGGTCAGAAAACAGGCTCAGAAAATGTAGAAAACTATATAGGATGATATAGAGCCCCATACCCAACTTCTGACTCCAAAACAGATTTGGATCCAGGCTGTATAAGGCCTAAAACGTTCACATTTTAGAGGCACCCTTTTAAGAAAATGTATAAAATTAAGCACAGGGTCTTGGAGAGACCAATGCAAGTGAGGGGTCCTAAAACTTAAGCTGCATTTGCTTCTTCAGAAATCCACCTCTTTCCAGTCTGTTCTGACAATGGAATCAGCACCACGACCTCAGAAAATACGCAGCACAATCCTGGGTGCTTTACATCTATCATTGCTAATCCCTGCAATCTTATAAGATAGAGCTTATTGTCCCATTTCACAGATGAATCTGGAGCTTAAGGAAATTAAATAACCTGTCTGATACTGTAAATCTAGCCATGGCAATTATAGAATCTGATTCAAGGAATTTTTCCCATTAAAAATCCTTGCTATTTTCAGTCTACTAAGCAAAGGCAAAACTAAAATCAATTTTGGTTTGGATGTTATTCTCATATACTTCCTATGCAGATACTGACTTTTTTTTCCTAATACTGCCCTGCATCTGAGCCTCCTGGTGCACTTTAAATGTGGGTCCATTCACCACTATTAACAGTTTTCTTGGTGTCACCCCAGAGTAATTTTCTCCTTGTTACCTTGCCTTATTCAGAGACAGTGCTGAGATTTAAGCTGTTCATTCATTCTCAGAGACTATCTCAATGCTACCTCCACTTCAAGAGGGTTCTCTTGCTCCGTTTCTACTATTAGTTCTAACTCCAGCTTGCAGGCTTTTCTTGTAACTCTATGAACAGTGAGGTCTATCAAAGCAAGGTCTCCTCTGCTTCCTCAAACTGCTGACCAGTCCTAAGGAGAGGAACACTGAATATCTGTGAGCTGAGCACATCCAGCCATTGACTGACTCACTCACTGAAGAATGCTACATTCTGGGCATATCTTCCATGACAGTCCAGCAGGGTAGCTGTTGGAAATCCAAACATGTCCACTTCTGCTTATGACCTCAGTCACCACCTCTCCATATGATTCTTCCATTGGCTGTTCCTGAGCACCTGAGGGAGAAAAACAAACAGAAACAAACAGGAAAGGGCAGGAGAATTGACATGTGAGAAGGAAAAAGTCACCAGTTGTTTCAGTTTGAGGCATAAGTGAATGTAAGAAACCTAGATTGCCTGACATAATGTCAGTTACCTATAACATCACAGTAAAATGGGCCTAAAGGTACTAGGACCACACACAAATGAGTCTGGGAAGAAGCAGGAGGTGGGAAAGCAGAGAACACATAAACAGATGTCTCTTCCTGCCAATCACAATAGTCATTCCTGTTTATACTTTGGTCTTGGCATGTGATTGGGATCTTCCATTTTCTTTCCCCACCTACTACTTTCATCCCTCCAAGCCCCAGAGGAATTCAGAATCTAAAAAAATCAACATTTCAGTCTTTATGATTGGTTCCATGTTGAAACCAATCAGCTCTTCAGTTCTCTGTAGTTATAAAGAATTAAGGGAGCCCGTATGGTACCACTGAACAATTCTTAGGCAGCTAAGTACCCAGACCCACCTCTCTCTTGGTCTTGAAGATGTAAGAATACCAGTTCTGACCAAGTGTAAATACTTGTCAATTCTTGGAAAAGAAAGACCTACTCAAAAACCAAGCCCAAGGCACTCCAACTAGATTAAGTAACTTGCCCAAAAACCCACAGAAAATAAGGAGTCAAGGTGGAGCAAAGGTTCAAATCCAAGACTTTCTGGATCCAAAGCCTATGTTCTTTTTTTCTTTTGAGACGGAGTTTTGCTCTTGTTACCCAGGCTGGAGTGCAATGGCGCGATCTCGGCTCACCACAACCTCCGCCTCCTGGGTTCAGGCAATTCTCCTGCCTCAGCCTCCTGAGTAGCTAGGATTACAGGCATGCGCCACCATGCCCAGCTAATTTTTTGTATTTTTAGTAGAGACGGGGTTTCACCATGTTGACCAGGATGGTCTCGATCTCCTGACCTCATGATCCACCCACCTTTGCCTCCCAAAGTGCTGGGATTACAGGCTTGAGCCACTGCGCCCGGCCGCCTATGTTCCTAAATTAGATAGTTGTCTAGTTTCCCATCACTAAAGAGCTGGTCAGAATGCTTATAAAATTGAACAGAAAGGAACAGAGTTTGACCAGACTGAATTACTCTTCATATCCTAGGAATCCTCTTGTATGTGCTCTGAATTATCTAAAAAAAATTTTTTTGAGTCAAGGTTTTGCTCTGTTGCCCAGGCTGGAGTGCAGTGGTTCAATCATAGCTTGTTGTCACTTTGAACTCCTGGACTCAATGGATCCTCCCACCTCAGCCTCCCAAGTAGCTAGGACTACAGGTCAGCACCACCAAGCCTGGCTAATTTTAAATTATTTAAAAATTTTTTCGTAGAGGTTGGGTTGCATTATGTTGCCCAAGCTGGTTTCCAACTCTTGGCCTGAAGTGATCCTCCTGCCTTGGCCTCCCAAAGTGTTGAGACTGTTAGGCATGAGCCACTAAACCTGGCCCAAATAATTTTCTTTTTTGAATATTTCTTCTTACTTCAGGATCCTAATTAGTGAATTCTTTTCTTTTTTTTTTTTTGAGACGGAGTTTCGCTCTTGTTACCCAGGCTGGAGGGCAATGGCACGATCTCGGCTCACTGCAACCTCCTTCTCCTGGGTTCAGGCAATTCTCCTGCCTCAGCTTCCTGAGTAGCTGGGATTACAGGCACGAGCCACTGTGCCCAGCTAATTTTTTGTATTTTTAGTAGAGACGGGGTTTCACCATGTTAACCAGGATGGTCTTGATCTCTTGACCTCGTGATCCACCCGCCTCGGCCTCCCAAAGTGCTGGGATTACAGGCGTGAGCCACCGCGCCCGGCCATTAGTGAATTCTTATACTTAAAAAAAAATACAGTGATTCAATGCATACTCTTTCTTTCCCTCTAATATGTCCTATCAAAATGCTGGCCTTCTAATTTAATGAAATAATAGTATGATGCTACCATTATTTGTTAAGCACCTGGTTCTTCTTGACAACTGCACATTTTGCTACATGCTGTGACGACCAGGAGAGTCATTTAAACTTTTATTTGGAAGACTCATGTCCAACTTGGAACACAAGCTACAAAAGAATTCCCTACCAGCGTGCCAGCACATCATTTGGAAGTTCAAGGTATTTTTGCTTAACTGCATACCCATTAAGAGTCCCTGGAAGAGTACATGGCGCCTGCTGCCTGGGGTTCGACTCTGCTGTTGGGGATTCCAGAAATTAGAGCAGAATTCATAGCTCTGCCTCTCCACCTGCTGTGAGGTTCAAGTTACAATGCCGCTGCCTATCAGGGACCTCCATGATTAGTAAGCGGGCACTGTCATATTTTTCTCCCTAGATCACAGGTCTGAGGAATCAGTTTTCCCAAGCTTTTGTAAAAAGTGGGTTTATATTAAAAAACATTGATTTTCCTATCAGAAAGGCTATTACATCCTTTGGAAAAAGCTTAGAAGTAGGCCGTGAGAGTCGTGGCTTCTTGCCGTGGTCCCCCCAGGATATGACCTTGGGCAAGTAACCCAGCAGCCCTGAATCTGTTTTCCCACTTATTAAACAGGTTACTAACACTGTCCTATCAGGTAACTCCTGGGAGAAGGAAAGAATCAAACAGGAAGGGTCTCTGACGAGACCACCAGACTTAAGACCTAAAATCCAGCGTCCTCTGCAGGGCGATGAGGAGTACACTTGGCGGTCTTGAGAACGTCTTGGGGCCAGTTTCAGGCGTAGGAGTTGTGCGTGGCGTGGTTTCCCACACACGGCCTGGGTTCCCACTCTCCCCCGGAGGAGCTGCCTCTCCTCGCAGCCCCGGAAGGCCGGCGCCGGCTTCCTGCCCTCGCTGAAGCCCGCACGGAGGTCCAGGGAGCCTGCCGCGGCCTCCCCACTCCCACGCCCCAGCCCCATTGGCCCTGCTCCTCTCCGCCGACGCTGCCCTCCCGCCTCGGGCCCCGGACCCGCCCTGCGGTCCTGAACCTCCGCACCCCGCTCTGCGGTCCACGGGACCCTGCTCTGCGGACCGCCGACCTCTCCGCTCGCGGCCGGCCTTCCTAGGGTCTCCTGCCCTCAGGCTTGATCATTGCCTCGCCGGCCGCTGGCCCAAGTCGGCAACACGGAGGACCCTGGACTGCAGCCCGACGGCGCAGCACCACCTCGCCAGGGCGCTCTGACCCGGCGGGCGGCCTCACTCACCGGAGCGGCGCGCGCCCGCAGACAAAGGCCGGCGCCGAGCCCGTAGCAGCGCCAGCGCCAGCGCCGGCGGACCGGACTACAACTCCCAGGAGTCTCCGCGTGAGCCCGCCCGCCGAGGGCCGTGGGTCTCGGCGGCCCCGGCTTCCATAGAGCACTGTGGGAAATGTAGTTCTCCAGCACACCCTGCGCTCGGGCTCCACCGGTCCCGGAGGCGCGGGAACCTCAGGCCCCTGGGCTTGGACTGGGAGTCCGGGGCCCCTGGGCGCTGACCCGTCCGCGGACGCGGAGCGGGGACCGAGCCACAGCCATTCAGATTAGCAAAATATGATTGAAAGCATCGGGGTAGCAGGCGCTGAGCCAAGGACTCAGGAATCCAGAATTCTTGCAGGGCGTCGTGAAAGGAAACAGTTTTGGGGAGAAATCTGTTCATAAAGCCTTGGGTGCTTCCAGGTCATGTGTTGAGCCGCTCCCTGCATGAGCGAAGGCGAAGCCCGCTTTCATGGAGCTTCTGTGAAGAGCAACAGAAACACAGGTAGTCCAGTCCTTGTGAGATACTGGGAGGAGCATGGTTGCTTTTGGACACGTACTAGATAAAGCGTCTCCTTGCCCCCCCCCGCCCCCACTCACTCTGTCTTCCTGGCTGGAGTGCAGTGGTTGCGATCTCGGCTCAGTGCAACCTCTGCCTTCTGGGCTCAAGCATTCTCTTCCTCAGCCTCTTAAGTAGCTGAGACTACAGGTCCGTGCCACCACGCCTGGCTATTTTTTTTTTTGTATTTTTAGTAGAGACGGGGTTTCACCATGCTGGCCAGGCTGTCTGATATACCTTGAACCTCCTTCAAACTCATTTTTCCAAGATCTGGAGCCCTTCTGTCTGTCTGGGCGTCTCCCTGGGTCCCTGCCTCTGGAGCCCCTCTCCGTAGATGTGTCCTTCCTCTTGAGTGAAGTACTCATAAAGAATGCTTCCTCTTGCTATGTCCTTGTCCTCTACCCCAAAGCCACACATTGGTTAAACCAAACAACTTAATTTCACTCAATATGCAAAGTGTCATGTAAGTAATACGTTGGTTCCTAAATGTCAGCTGTTACTATATTGCACATCATTTCTGAATTTCTTTCAACATTTATCCATTGAACACATTTTAAATGCTGACACTAGGGACACGAATGTGAACAAGACACACTCCGTCTCCTAAGGAGGCGTAGGGAGGGAGCTGATAGTCTAGTGGAGAAAACCACCACTTTCCTCACACGGGGGTCAGGGGCATTGCACAGTCAAGTCCCAGAGTGCGTGGTGCAAACTGTCCAGAAGCTCCCCACTCCTGAACTGCTGCAGGTGGCTCCTCCCCTCACTCCTCCCAAGTCTGAGAGAAAGTGGTGGGGGCGGCACACAGCAAAGGCCAAGGTTCGGAGTCCTAAGGCTGCGTCTTCTGCTTCACACCTGGTACATAGGTTCCACTGACGTCAGGACCAGCTGTGGACACTAGGACAAGTTTCAGATCCTGCTGTGACGGTACACGACAAAGCATTGGTGGGAAACGATGGCTGTGAGGGGGGACTGCCATTGCTTTTATAAATCCGCATAAACTTCCTAACGGGGTCTCAGGAAAGTGGACACATTGAATGGCCCAAAGCTGGGGAGAAAGCTGTTAGTATTGGGGTTGATGAGAACCGGGCCTCCATAGACAGACTGCCCAACTGCAAAATGGGGCTTATTCTCACCCACCACCTGCATCTTAAGACAAATGCTCAACAAGAGGGAGGGTGTGGAGTGAGCATGAAAGGGAAATAATTGTTGGCAGTGTAGATTTGAAAAATTGCCAAAGAACAGTTCCCCCACTTTGCAGGCATTTCAAAACATTAGGGGAAGGACAGATAATTCAATAAAGGGTGTTATGACAAGGGCTAGACATTGGGGGTGGGGTGGGGACTTGAATGTTTATCTAATTCCCATGCCAAGAGAACCTCCAGATGGATTAATGTAAAATGGGAAACACAGAGCCACAAAGGCCCAGAAGAACACATAGATTAATCTTATAATCTTGGCATAGGGAAGGCTTTCTTAACCAGTGTAGCAAAGGCAGAAACAATAAAGAAGATTAAAATCCAACACTTCGGTGTGGCCAAACCACCACTAAATGAAGTTAACATGTGACAAGCTGGGAAAATATTAGCAACTGTCATACTTAAAGACACCATACAAATCAATAAGAAAAAGACAGTTCATTAGAAATGTGGCAAAGGACAGCAACTCACACACACACAAATGAAAGAAAAGTACATTCACTATTCATTTTATAAAATTTCCAATTCAAGCAAATAAAAATTACCTCCCAAGTACTAAATGGCAAAGATTGCAAAGGAGACTGGGGAAGTGGACAAGTCCATCTGTGTGTAAATTAGGATGATTGCTCTGACTGGACATTTGCAGTACATACCAAAAGTCCTGAAAATGTGCATTTTCTTTCTAGAATTTTTTTCGTTGGGGAAAAAGAATCAGATAATTGTATCCTAATTGTGGAATGAAAGCTGAAGTGAAGTCCAGGTCTCTGAAGTATTGACTTGGAAAGGACTTTTAGCTCCTTTGAAAGGAGTGGCTGCCCTAGAAATTTCCATGAGACTATAAAGCTGGAGGGAAGCTGAAGCCTTTACTTGCTGCCGTAGTTCTGAACAAATACAGCCATTTGTTGCTTAGTGATGGGGGACACCTTCCCAGAAATGCACTGTTAGGCGATTTCATCTTTGTGAACGTCGTAGAATGTACTGACACAAATCTAGATGGTCCCTCCCGTTACACACTAGGCTCTATTGTTTAGACTCTGTGCTAGTGACTGTACTGAATACTGCATGTAATTGTAATGAACAATGGCAAGTATTTGTGTATCTAAACATAGAAAAGGCATGGTAAAAATATGGTGGAATAATCTTCTGGGACCACTTTTGTACTTGTGGCCAGTCGTTGACTGAAAGTTTGTAATACAATGCATGACTGTACCTGGGTCTAGAGTGGTAGAATAAGAACCCACCTTCTTGGGGGGGGGGCGTTGATCAGAACGCTTTCCATCATGCTTACTATCTGTGTCTACTGCAGTCTCTATCAGAAATGCAGGCCTCTTCAGTCCCTTGTCTGTGCTCCTCCTTCCTCAGTGCTCTGCACACTCACTGCACTGTGCGAGCCTTCTGTCCATGCCACACTCTCCTCTCACTCTGTCCATTATGGGGCAGTGCTTGGGAGAAAGTCAGCTTTCTTGCAGCCCTTCCATCTTGGTGGCCAAGCTTGGGCAGCTGGACCCCCAGGATAAAGGAATCTGTACTTTAGTATGATTCTTTGGAAAGGTTTTTGAACCCTGGGCCAGAGCCGTCCAAACATTCCCTGACATGCCAGCCATTTCTTGGGGCTGGAAGTGATGGTGGCTTCTCCTTGGACAAGCGGTTCCTTTTCTCTGAAGCTGCCTTTGTCCTTTTGAGCAAATGTGTTTTGTGATTGATTTCACTAGCACCTAACTAGTAAACCTAGTGTGTGCAATTGTAAGCCTAGTGTGTGGATCGTTGCTCTTGTCTCCTCATAACTCCGGCAACTATTCATATAAAAATCATCCTGATGGAAGCTATCTCTGTAGGCTTCAGGCAGATTTTGTTCTTGCCTTTTGTTTCTGCCATTTAGTCAGCCGTGCCCTTCTTCAGCCTCTTGATGGAGTTGCTTATAAGCCAGAAAGTGGGAGGGAAAGTGTGGGGTGGAGAAGATGACCCACACCTAGTACAAATTTGCATTTGTTTTCAGCACTGTGGGCTAAGCCAACATTTCCTGCAGAGGCTCTGATGCCCAGAGTTGATTACTCTGTTTGGTGTCACTTAGTGGGGCTGCAGTTAGGACTCCTTTAGGATGTATTTATGGTGCTGCTCGGCTCACAAAAGACTATGCGCCTGGCATTGTGCGAGTGAGTGCTGTACTTTCCTAATGAACCTTTTGAGGAAACATTGCGGAGGAGGATGAAGTCCTGCATTCCTGTCTCCCATTGTGTAGGAAGGCCTCCACGTGGCCAGAGGCTGAAGACATGAATGTGGCTGAAGTGGGAGCTAGGTGTTTCTCCTCAGATCAACTGTTGGGTGCTACTTCCTCTCATGCCTGAGTCCTGAGCTGTGGACCCTGGAG